AACAATTTTGAAGCTGATACAATTAAATTTGTAAAAGAATTTATTGCACCAAAGGTAAAATATTGTTTATATTTTGAAGACCCAGTCTATGAAAAGTTTAGCGTAGTTCTTCAAACATATTTCAAAAATTCCCAAATAAATCTAGTAAAATGCACAAAGAAATTGATAAACGTTACAGATCAAAATGATATTAAGGATATAATTAAGAATTATCACGAAGGTAAAACCAATCATCGAGGAATCGATGAAACTGATAAAAGAATAAAACAAATATATTATTGGCCGAATTTAAGAAACTCGATACAGACATATTAATGAGTGTGTCAGTTAACAAAATACGACAGACACCCGTTAAAACTTGAATATAATATTACGCCAACGCCTACGAAACCATTCCAAATTTTATACTTAGACACTATTTCTTTAGAAAACGCAAAATTTTTGACTATGACCGATTCATCTTCAAAGTACGGTCAGGCTTACATGTTGAACTCTGCCAATGGAGTAGAGGTAACAAATAATTTTATAAGATATTTTACACATCACTGTATACCAGATCAAATGATTTTCGACAATGGCACAGAATTAAAAAAATCAGTAGTCAAAGAACTTTTAGAACTGCATAAAGTCAAAATACATTTTATTAGTTCACAGCACCCAGTATCTAACGGAACCGTAGAACGTTTCCTCTCAGCGCTCATAGAACATTTAAGATTATTAAATAATCAGGTAGAGTACAAGAACGAACCTATAGAAACTAAGGTAAATTACGCTATATTAGCTTATAATAACACAATACATTCTGTAACCAATCTTAAACCCTATAAAGTGATTACTGGTCATTTCAATACAGAATCACCTTTTAATATAGACATAGATAAGCAATTATTAAATAATTATTTACAGAATCATAAGGAAAAAATGAAATTAGTATATAGGAATTTAATTGAAAAGATATTACAGAATAAAGAAAAAGTTATAAATAAAGCAAATGAGAAACGTGAAGTTTTGCCTGATATTTCTAACAAGGTATATGTTAAGAATAAACAGAAGCAACAGAAAACTAAAAATAAGTATAAGCAAGAAAAATTAGTTAGTATAGATAAGAAATTAAAAAGAGCGGAGATAGATCCCACACATGCCAATACTTCCAAAAATATCCATTTATCCAATATTAAAAGGCCCAGGAAGAAAACTTATCAATTTAAATTTACTAATATTTCAGATACCTCATCTATTTCGGATGCAGAGAAGAAATAAGAAACATAACGAACAATTTAGGAATTTTGCCAGTAAAATTAGGCACAGCTAGGCTACAAAAGACAAAACATACTTTTGTGCACTATTATGATCTATCACCTTTATATAAGGAATATGAAGACTTGAATAATCTTAACTATAGTTACAGAAACCATTCTAAGATTAATAACGAGCTAGAAAATTATAGTAAGATAGTACCTTATATAAGGAGCTTGATTCAAGAGAAAATCGAATACATTAAATCTCATTCTCAAAAGACTCGCAATAAGAGAGGACTTTTTAATGGCATAGGCTATGTAGTAAAAACAATAACAGGAAATTTAGACTCCGACGATGGAGAACGTATTAATGAAAGTTTATCTCATTTACAAGAAAATCAGCACCATATTCGAAATCAGCTGAGAATGCAATATTCAGTAAACAGTGAACTTGTCGCAAAATTTAACGGGACTATTCAAAATATACAGCACAATGAGATGACATTAAGAAATAACATTTTACAATTGAAATATATTTTATTGAACCAGACAACAAACCAGGATATTCTTTCAGCGAAGAACAGTATCAATCAATTAATTATCCTTTATAATGCCATATTTAATATTTTACAAGATATCGAAAATTCGATAACTTTTTGCAAATTGAAAACCATGCATCCCAGTATAATAAGGACTAGAGAATTATTTCAAGAACTCCGTAAGATATCCACATTTTATAAAAATGAATTACCATTTGAAGTAAAGTATGAAAATATGCTAGATTATGAATCTATTATTTCTATCAGTTGTAAAATCGATGAGAATCAAATAAGTTATTTTCTATCTATTCCTATAGATTATACTGAACATTTCGATCTTTATTATATGTTACCTATACCGACTCCGATGCACAAATCAGAATTCGTCACTATTATCCCAAATTATAAGTATTTGCTAAAATCTGATCGAAATGAGATCAAACCCCTGCACGAGATTTGTACCCAAGGTAGAATCTATTAATGCCCTAATCGTATATTAGCCAATCACAAAGCCCAATGCGGGAAGTCAATAATTACAGAAGATCATACAGAGCCATGTAGATACACGAAGCTTCAGATTGAAGAAAATCACATTGAATTTATTCCCGAAATTAACCAGTATTTAGATGTATTTCTCACCGAAGAAAAATTGAAAATTAAATGCAAGGAGCAAATCGATACAAAGTCATTACTTGGCATTTTCTTAGTCAAAGTCAGTGAATGCCAAATATCATTCCAAGACAATGAAATTATCTTTCAAGACAAAACCTATGGAAAGCCCCTCGTAGCTGACAAAATGGATTTCCATTTTATGAAACAAAATATCCCAGAGACACAAATTACTCTGAAAACGTTAAATTTACCAGAATTACAAGTTAATCGAATGTTACCAATTTTAGAAGAAAATTCCATAGAAAATTTTGGAAAACCCAGTATTTGGACCATATTACTATATCTCGTATTTTCAAGCATCTGCTGCATAATTTTATATAGAAGATGGAGAAACAAGAAAGCATCCAAGTTAGAAATCGACATTGAATTAGCCGAGATGAAAGAAGAAGGTCCAAGTCCCACAAAACGCACTAGAAGAGAAGATTCCAGTTCAAGATATAAGAAGAAAGAAATTCACCTTCCAGGGGAAGCTGCATTCTAGGGGTGGAGGAGTTATGTACCAGTCTATAGAGAAGAATATGCTGAACAAGGACTTTTGCCTCCACGTTCCTTTCTTATCAGTTTCAGTATTGTATTTCATTTGTTCTTTACTTTGGTTTGTATAATGAACTTTGCAGTCAGTCTCGATTCAGAACTCATTCAATTAACATCATTGTATTTGGTTATTCTCAAAAATAAATCTTTTTAAAAACGTTTTCGTTGAAGAAAGATATTTGAGTTATATATATATATATATAATATATGGGCGGACGTGCGTACCATACACATTCACCATCAATTGATTTTTTGAGCTGCACTGTCTTCAAATAGACTGAGCGAAGGCACATCGTTCTCACGTCACCTGAACTCACCAGCAACAAGGCCACTGGAAAGTTGGAGAGCGGGAGGAAGGCTGGAACGTCAGGATTTTATCTACTCTGGAGGCCCATACTGGGTTCTGAGCCCCCCTTGAGTCTCGGGGCCCGGCGCACAGTGCATCGTGTGCGTGATCTTAGAGCCGCTCCTGACAAGCACTCACGTAAACTCACGTTATGTTAAACACCACTCATATATTTGGAAGCGCTAGCCTCAGTCCGCGGCTCCCCTCACGTAGAAGTAATGTAAAGTGTAGGTCATACGTCTTTCGTTATTTCGAAGATTAGTTTCAGAACAAGGAATGCAATATTCAAAGTAATGCAATAATTACATTGATAATAGATATTTATTCAACATTTTAATGCAACAATCTCCGAATATGAATGTATCTGCATTCTGTCAACATCACGGCTGAACCACAATACGGAGAGACATAAAAATGTTTACACTAAGTAATGCCCGAGAAAGGTTAGAGGCATACATATCTACATAGTACTCTATAAAATCCCGGCGACTTTGAAAATACAATATTTGGAAAAAGTGATTCTAAGAAAATTTTTTGGATAACAAAAGTAATGTGATGACCTCAAATAAGATGTCAAAGGATTTTGAACTCTATCACTAACTATGATAAGTTTCTGTTTAGAAAAAGGATGCCACCCTAAACAGTGGAAGCTGGCCTTACTTATACTTGAACCTAAAATCTGAGTTTAAACGTCTTAAACCTACTAGCTTGTTACCCGTGCGTTCAAAAATTTTAGAAAAAAGTATAGGAACAATATGAATCATACTTGAAGTAAAACAAAACACCAAAGATATCTAAATCAACAGGATCAGGCTAAGAAAACGCACGAAATGCAGCAAATTCTCGATGCAAATTCCTTGTCTAATTAGTCTTACTCCTTTCGGTAGGAGCGGCGACTGAGCGCTTCCGCATCAGACATCTAATGACAAATTCCATTAAGCCATGCTGCAGCCTATGAAATATATCTTATACTATGTAATACTCTCAATGGGAGGAAAGATCGGGAGATCTAGGGTCCAAGGCAATAAATTGACTTGATTGATGGACCAACATGATTCTGGCTATATGTGATCGCGCATTATCTTGTTGGTAAAGTGGGTTGGTGAACGTCCGTATATAAGGCAAAACATGTGGTTTCATCTAATCCTAAATATAACAAACGACGGAGATATTGTCTCTGATGAACCCCAAATGTGACTTGCTTCTATAAGCAATAGCCCCCAGTACCATGATTCCAACAGTGTGATGTACATACGTTCCCGTAGATTCAAACCCCATAGCTGTAAAGAGTACAGAAGTGACACCTTTTACACGTAGCCTAAACCAGCACAACTACAATTTTTTAATATTGGTAAATATACATAGTAGGCGCACCCCATTAATTCGAACGGAACTTCCTCGTCTTGTCCATAAATAAGAAAACTTCTTAAAACCATACTTATAAGCATAAAAACTACGTATACTTTTCAAAGTCAAAAAAGGACGAATACAAAACAGTCACAAAGCAACTTATTTGATTTTTAAATCCTTTAACATTGGGAACGACACGTTACATAAAGACTCATCCCCTTTTTGTATGCACAAATAACCTCTAAGCGTTAACTGAATGCTATTTGCCCTGGAGAGAGCATAATAGAGACGTAATTTCCCTACAAAATACTGTTTACCTACCACTTCTATTCCGGTGTCAGTAAAAGTGTACACTCTGGTGAGGGACTTTGCTCCGCCGTCTATCGGAATCGATTCGATTGTCAAGGTGTTACCGTCCAATTTCGCAGTGCTCTACAATTCAAGTCCAATGATGTGATGAGTGGATGTAATTGGTTTATATCATCAAGGATAAGTTTATTTGGTATTGGTAATATAATTAATATTAGAAGGTAGATTTGTTCGGAGACACTACAATGCATTTTTTATTTGCGCCCTTTGAAGAAGTCCTGGGGGCACCGATGGTAATTGGTAGGCATTTGGTAAGACAGTAGCTCTATATTGAATCTGTGGTATCGAAGTAAAATCTTGAAATTTTATAATTTGCACTATTTTATGCAAATTCGCAAAAATGGCGCCAAGTAAGCTGACCTGCACTTCCCATGCAATGTTGTCATCAATTCATAAAAGATTAGATATATTCGGCACAAATCTTAGAAAAAAGTTGGCTAGGAACATGGATATAGTTGTAGTCACCGTTCTTGGCGGGTTAAAGTAAGACGACTACTAGTATCCCCTTGTATATCTCCATCTTAAGCTCTACGACATACGTTTTTTAGTTGTGTGTCCCCGTCTCGAAAACTTTTTCGTTACGTATACTCACTCGCCCTTCAATCATATTTATCAGGGTGACAAAAATTTATTAGAGTATTTCCAGGAAGAGAATGAAAACAACGGTCCTCTGTTACCCACTTCGTGCGTTCTAGAGATAGTAGCAGATGCGCTGAAGATTAGTCTGCGACCATGGTACGGAGCTCGATCTGTTGACTTATTTCATATGGCGTTGATGACATACCGCCAATAACGGTGACTACAACTATAACAAAGGAATTAAATATATTATGTCAGTTAAACAGGCTTATACAATTAGTCTATTGTCCCCTCAGATCAAACAACATTGTGGTCTAGTCTACCTCCCTAAAGTACCGACTACCCTGCAACGTGGCAACGCAGCACGGCATTGCTCACACAGAAATTATTCACCCATCATCATTCATTGATTCATTTATCCCCCAGCTGTCGAAGCATATACAGGGTTTGTCCGGAAAGTAATAGGACTCATTTTCTTTCCCCGTGACTGTACTCCGGAGCGTGCGCCCACCGACTGGATTCGGTAGAGGGTGTTCCTAACTAACGAATGAGCGGCTGGTCAGTTGTCTCCGAGCACTTGGAGAGTCAGGACAGGCATTTTCGACGTGTTTCTGTGAGTGGTGCAAGCCGAAAATGCAGCGTTCGTTAGAGCAGAGGTACGCGATTCAATTCTGTGTGAAACTCGGTAAATCTGCGACAGAGACGTTTGACTCGTGTGCGCAAAGTTTTGAACTCAGACCGTCGACTAAGTATTCATTTAACTGCCCAGATGTTAAATTTACCAAAATCTGGGTCCGACAAGACATCGCAGCCGACTGGAAGTTGCACCACGACAACGCCCCGGCTCACACCGCCTTTCTTGTGAACAGCTACCTGACCAAGGCCGGCATCCCAACGCTTCCGCAGCCGCCCTACAGCCCAGAAGTGGCCCCCCGGACTTTTTTTTGTTTCCTCGCCTGAAAAGGCCGATGAAAGGCAAGCATTTTGAGACGACAGAGGGGATCAAAACAGCATGCACCGCGGCTCTCAAGGCTATTCCGATTAATTCCTTCCGTGATTCAATGCTTGGAAATCGCGCTGGCAGCGCTGCATCGACGCAGAAGGAGCCTATTTTGAAAGTTTTTAAAGAATTGTAACGATTGGCTCAATAATTTTTTTTAAATCGACTCAGTCCTATTACTTTCCGGACATACCCTGTATGATCATTTCGACATAGCCCTCCGAGATCACGGTAACAGCATTGCCATTACCGTCTTCGAAGAAGTAAGATGCAAGTTTGCGATACAGCGCACCAAACCGTCACTTTTGAGGTGTGCAGCGGTCTTTCTTGTAACTGTCGCGGATTTTCATTAGCCCAATAACGGCAATTGTACTGGTTAACCATGTCATTAAGACGAAAGTGAGGTTCATCACTCATGAACAAAATGAGGTTCTCGTTTTGCTCCATCTCACGTGCGAGGTTCATTCGCTGAGTGTATTCTCCAGGCTGTAACTGTTGCACAATGGCCAATTTGTATGGTTGAAAGTGGAGTTCCATATGCAAAATACGCCTTACCGAACGATCACTGAAACGAAGTTCAGCAGCATGTTGCCGAGCAGCTCGAGCCAGACTGCAGAGGGCTTGTCGAACGCGTTCCACATTTTAAGGGGTTCGAACCATTGTGGGGCTCCTGGTGGTCTCTTGTTGATCAGTACACTACGTGTACGAAGAGATTGAACCCAACGAAGGATTGTGCTTCGAGAAGGAACAGCTCGATTCCGATAAATATTGAAGTGGTGGCGAAACTCACGCTGTACAGTCGTGATTATGTTGGACAAAACTGTCGCACGCGAAAACGGGGTGCTCAACCATGCAGTGCTCCATAATGTCTACTGGTAAAATGCTAGGAACGCCCGAGTCGAACGGCACCCTCCCCACCACTCTCGCCCGATTAGGCGGAGAGTACTAGCCATTTCAAAAACATCCGTCCTTTGTGCCGGAGCCTGTAGGAGCGTAGAATTACCGGGGCTGGAAACATATAAATTGCTAGCGACAAAAAATTGACGTTTACTCTCCCCCAATATCCAATTCTTAATTCCTCAGAAAATTTTCTTTCAAATGGTCAGGTTATCCTGAAGTGTCAAAAAACGAAATTTAAGCGATTTTCATTTCTCCTTCATAATAACCCGAGGTGGACTTCCCAAGTTATAGGCCGACCAAGCATTACCGCATAGACAAAGCGACAGACAGACCGACGGAAATGAGTGACTTGGTTTTTTGTGATATACATGTCATACTACATTCAAAAAACATAATATCTCATTTTCTAAAATTTTAGAGATTACAATACATCCTCGCCAATTGACGTAAGAAGTAAACATAGATGATTCTTAATTCCATTTTGAACAATCAAGCGAGTATTTAATTATACTTGTTAGGAAGCACCGCATATGGTGGAAAGTTACCTCCTCCTCTTGGAGCATTAAAGGTTGACATTTACGTAAGTTGCAATCCTCCGTTTGAAATACTATATTTCATTTATTGCACAGTTCTGAATTGACATTTTTACTTAGGTTGCATGGAAATTCAGGTGCAATGTGTTCCTGAATCGCTTTCCCAACATGGAATCCGACCTCATTATTTCTTATTGCCGATTGAGTGGTCAGTTTGATTTTATCCCCATTTACCTCTACGGTCAAAAGGGCTTTAACCTCGTTGCTTAGCATGCTCTTCTGGAATACCTATAGTAGAGGATTTATAACAGTTAGTAACATTATACACGGTGTTCTGCATTCTCGTACACCAAACTATTTGGCCCAAAAGCCCCCAGAAGATTTTTTTTCGAATGTCATTTTTGATCAAGATCAATAATTCATCTGAATACAAAAGAATATCAAAGAATAAAAAAGTACACAATTTCATCTCAAACATTCGTGTACAGGATGAAAAATGTTGCTAATATTCTACATCAAATTATATCCAGGAAAAACCAAATTTGTCTCACGGCATAAGTTCAATATGTATACGATAGAGAAGCGCGAGAAGTGAGTATCAACACATGTTAGAAAGAGACAGATTACCATATTTCCTAGCAACTGTGATGCAGAAGGTCGTGCAATCTGTCGCATTGCCAATACGAGTATGTTACACCAGAAAATGTTTGCACAGGCTTTTACAATAGGTTGGGTTACTGACAAATCCAAGAAGGAGGTCTGTTTGAACATTTCATTTATTATTTTGTTTTCATTTTGATTAGAATTACTTATTTCATTTTTGCAGCGACTTGGTGTTTTAATTTATTTTAGAGTTATATTTTCTTTCCACCGATGGTGATAAAATCAGCACATCCTGTGTTATTATTACATTTTGCCACAGCGAGTGGTCGGAAAATGTAACAAATACCATTAAAAAATACAAATTATCACTGCCTGCGTGTACGCATCTCGAAGCAGAACGACATTCCCCAATTAGCGCTAGATGTTCGGGCGACTTTAGGTCTATTTAATATCATTAACACGCAAAAAAAGGTGGTAGCCAAGGACCAGTCGACCAGGGCGGCACCACCCGCTAGCTTTTCCCAGGGTGCATTATAAATGTCCGCAGTAGGCTATCTTCCAAAACAATGAAATTAATGATGATGGATCCCTAGAGTACTAAGAATTCCGAACGTAAGCTCAGTCCACTTTCGGAATGTCCGGGTGGAGAGTGGGCTCGAGGGAACAACACCGAAGATAAAATTTGTTTTACGAACATCTGCGGGATTAGCAGCAACATTGATGCTGTTCATCACGACCTGCAATCCAATCGTCCCGCCATGCTTTTCTTGGCGGAGACAAACATCTCAGACTCTGCACCGATTAACCGCTTTAGCTTCCAAATTTACAAGCTGCACTCCAATCTGAGAAAGAACGGGGGACTTGTGGCTTTTGTCCGCAGCAATCTTTCCTGCTCCAGGGATCTTTCTTTGGAATCAGACCGGAAGGACAATCTGTGGCTTCGCCTCAACTCCAAAACATCACCTGCTGCCTTACTGCTCTCCCTCGGACCATAACTGGAATGACCTACTTGAATACCTCGCCGTCAAGATCGACTTCCTGAACATCAGTCACCCCGCCTCAGAAGTTGTTCTTCTCGGTGATTTCAATGCCCATAATGAGCTTTGGTTGAGCTCAAACAGGATTGATGCAGCAGGTCGTGTAGTCGAAGCGTTCGCTCTTATTCAAAGGCTGATCCAGCTGGTGACGAGCCCTACTTTTTTGCCCCGCGTCTCGTCACATGCCAGTAGCCTGCTGGATCTCTTTCTGACCACGCATCCTGTCCCTTACAGCACTGCTGTTCTGTCCCCTCTGGGTAACTCGGACCACGGAGTTGTGGAGGTGAGGTTTCGGTCAGAACCAGCTGTGGCAGCAGAAACTCGTACAGACTGCAAAACTTGGCATTACTGACATGCCGACTAGGAGGGGCTCAGATACTTCTTCTCTACCTTTTCTTGGAGAGATGTCTGTTTCACTGACGCGGATGCGTCGGCTGACTGTTCTTCGATAACCGAAATTATCCACGTCG